AACGTGGCATGTTCTTAACGCAGCTCTGTGCTCATTTGTCTCAGCGGTCATAACTTCTGCATTCGTGCGCAGGGGTGCATTTCGGAGAAGGGAAGTGCTCGTGCAAAAAACTGGCACGAGTTGAGGGAACGGATCAGCCCAATATTGGAGGCGGCTGTCCTCGGGTCATGCAGAATGATGCCAACATGCAGCAGCACAACGGAATCAACACGCGCTCAAACTGCAAATAGATGGACCTGCAAAACAAATTCAACTCGATCAAACAATAGTTTGTTCTTGATTGACACTTTCACCTTGACAACAAGCTGGGCAAGATGCCTGTTGTTGAGCTCTTTGGCCGTTTTGTCCGAATCAGTGTAGTAGTTGGTAGTTGGCTGCATCTCGCATAATTCTTCTCCTGCTCCCTGAGATCCTGTGTTCTTAGATGTTCTGCCTTTTCAGTGCAAGCCTCCAACGGCTTTGCGAATAGCAGGCGCAGGTGAGCAAACCTTCGAATGCGCGTCGAACTTTGTGGGGCGCTTCCAATGGACGTCCTTCTCAACACATCCTGCTCCTTTGCGCGCATTTCTGCCAGAATGCGTTCTCGTTGTGCCTTCTGGACGTTCAAGAAAAACATGGATTAAACCCTGTGGCATTGCTTCTGTCATGTCGCCTGCTTCTTTTGAAGAGCTGGCTTTGTGAGTGGTGCTTGATTCAAATCCGGAGAGCCTGACCAGCATCTCTGGCGGAGGAATCTTTCCAGATCCAGGGGCGTACCTGCTTCCACTCAAACTCACGTCTCTCATCCCAAGTAGGTTTTGTGTCTTTGGCTTTCCTTCAGTCCCAAATCACAGCTCTTTGGGCACCTTTTGGCCTTGAGTCGATGCTTGCCTCACACTTGCCTTAGGCTCCGGCGGCTCACACTTTCTCACCAAAGGAAGCTGGTGCTCGTCCTTCAGCGAATCACAGCCCATCCCGTGCTAGTATATGGCTTAGCTTGGTTTTCATGCTGGTTGGCCGTTCGTAGAATTTGCAGCCATTCGATAAAACGTGCTTTGTGTGGGCAAACATGATGCTGCACACACACACACAACCACCGAGGCCCTTGGGAGCAGGCAATCTAAGCAAAGCGTTGCTCTCGGAATTGTTTCATGGCTACGCAATAGTTTGTGATTACCAAGCCAATAACATTCCAGGGCAAATAATGCTTTGTTTTAGCCTGCTCAGGCGCTTGCAGCTGCCATAACTCTTCGCTAAACCCAAACTCAAGTTCAATACTCAACCTTTACGCCTCAGCAGGCATGTTCGAGCGCTAGTGATGTTTAACTACTTCTGCATCTGTCCCAAGTCAGAAGCCTTGACTGCTGTGACAATAGCGGGCGAAACACACCAAGCTGAACCTCAGTGATTGAAGGGGAGCCTCGGACCCGCCCGGACGCCCCTCCTGCAGGTTCATCACGCGCCAAATGCGGTTTACTTCCCAAGTCCCTCGGTGGAAGCTTAAGTCCAAACTCGCAATGCTCCCGCACCGCTCCGGTTAGCTTGCAGCCTCTTAAAAACTGGCACACGACCAGGTATTTCATGTTTGCAGGTATTCAAGTTCCCAGCCCTCTTCTCGCTGCGGTTCCTGGCAATATTCTTCAACATCCAGCATAGTCTCATCTTGCAGCTGAACGGAATTCGACCCCGCGTTTCACGCCGAAAGGAACCGACAGGAACCAACAAGCGCCTCATCCTCAAGAGGTTGGCTCTTGCACATTACATTCCCATGAGTTCATGCCCACATGCCCGCACCCCACTGTCCAGCATAAAGCCGCGCCTGTCGCGGGGCTTTGTATCGCTCGGGGTCGACGGGCTCAAAGAACTTCGGGCCACCCTTCCAAATTTCCGGACTCACGAATTCAAACACTTTTTGAAATCAACCTGCACAAAGGCTCTTTGACGTTTCCGAGCACAGCCGGCCTGTGCGGTTGCATCACAAGTGACCCAGCCTTGCCAAACCAGGTCAGAGATGGTCAGAAGAGTCTGAAATCCACTCTGCAATCCAAGTCTGCGGGGCGCGCCCATGCGCGCTTTCGCTGCATGTGACGAGGTCGAGGGCTGCGTGCAGCAAACGGCAAGTATCACGTGCTTGAGCTCGTGACTGTGCCTAACTCTCTTGCAACGCAATGGTGCTTGTCCGGGCACGAAGTGTCCACACAGGCCAAGCCGGAGCAGGCGAAGCACAGCTTCCGGGGTAAGAACTGATGTACAACCCATGAAGAAATCGGCCTATTCTAAGCTTGGCTGAGGCAAGCCGGCAAACCACGCTGGAACTGGGGCGCCGCAGTACACAATCGTTTAAACTACCCCCACCACTTCCCCACTAAGCCGAAGCAACCTGAACCAAAGCATAAACAACTCTAGACTAACCCTATGAAACCCAGTGCTCCGCAATGAGCCAAAGTACTTCAAACCCTACGCAACCCTGAGCCAAGAACCGGGAGAACCATGACTAACCTTCAACTGCCCAAATCCGCTTTGGTTTAGCTCACGGGAATGTGGATCCAAGAATAAACCAGCCACCACAAACCACCCCTTGACCAAACCCAATCAATTTTGAAGCCCAGTCAAAGTCAACCCCAAACCAATCCTAGCGGAACAGAACCCCGGCGCATCCAGCAACTTGCGTGTCTTGATCGCCCTAGGACCAACATCCTGAGGACCAGGAAGGCTAACACACTAGTATTTCGGCCAACAAGCCACACACAGACACAACGCTCCATCCCGAGCATTCCGAGTATCCTTCAAATCCAAACTGTCGCAAGCAACCCATGCCCATCCCGTGGACTTCGAAACGTTTCGGCCCTGCCAAGCTTTCCTGCTCTCTGACATGGCTGATTTTCGAATTGGAGCTTTCCACATCTCAAGTTTCCGCTTTCTGAATTCCACGCTGTCGCTTCTGACACGCAGCGTCAGGGCTGCCTCGCGGCCTTCAAACGTGATTTGCATCCGGATGATGCCATCCTGCCATGGCTTACACAGGTGCAAGTACGCCGCCAACATGCCGCTTGGTGAAAACACAACAACGGCCCATTTTCTTTCGTTTGCTCTATGCGACAAAGCCTAAACATGCCTTCTGCTATCCTAAAGAACAGGAAGTGGCCCCAGGCCTCTGTCACCTCCAATGGTGCAGCCTGAAGTTCGCAGCATCATGGCTCCTCCCTCCAACCCTCTAAGAGCCTCAAGTGATTTGTCGGCCTGGGCCCCTGCCTGCTCCACCATGGTGCCACATGCCAGGACTGCCACCTTTCTTGAGTCCAACCCTATGAATCCGAGCCCACCAGCCCACAAGCCCACCTCGTCGCTATCCAATGAGACCTTTGCTTTGTGCCAAGCTGTGCCTGCGAAACCCACCTTCAACCCAAGTGCCGCACACCTCTCCGCACCACAATGTCTCCTTTGGTGGATCCGCTGGAGAAGATGACCTGAATGCTGGCATTCTGTGCTTGCAGTCAACTCAAAACCCACCGCAGCTACGCTGTGGGTGCCGCCGTCCATTTTGGCGACTTGACCTGGGCAACGTCACTTGCAGTTCAATTATGCTGCAGGGTGCAAAAACAAAAGACACAACATCATTGCTGCGCCGTCACTGAATCATTTCGGTGTTCAATGAGTTCGATAAACATAGCCGTGTTTTGGTTTTCCTTCGAAGTGATTGCGAAGGGTTCTTTGACTGGAGTGGGTGACGTGTGACCCTGTGCTATGGTCAAGAGTTGGTTTAGGGTGGGTTTAGGGTTGGCTTACGGCGGGTTGGCTTATTGGCTGAGGGTCTGGGGATGGTCTAGGGTCGGTGGCGGGTTAGTTTAGGGTGGAAAGAAACGAATTTCCGACAAAACCAGGACCAGTGTCGGGACGGGTTGGACAACATGCGATTTGTTTCTTTTTTTCCGTCTTGATTTACCCGGGAAACAGGACGGCTCGGACGCGCAAATTGGCCGACCTAGACGTGCTGTGATTTCCTGCGGACGAGCTGTGATTTCTTGCCTCCCAATTTGCCCGGCAAACAGGATGCTTGGACGAGCTGCGATTTTCACAGGTCCATTTTTTCGTTCACTTATTCACTCTAACTTGATTTAAAGATGCACAATGCAGTTTATTCTTAACCTGTGGCCTGTCTCGGATTCAAGAATCGCCGCGCACCAGTTTATCGACTGCAACTCCTACCCGCTACGGGCTTCCCAAGAGATTCATTATGAAGAGCGCGCGTTGGAAAGATCAAAAATGCACAATGCACTTGGTTCATTCTTAATCCCAGGTCCATTTTTGATTCAAGAGGCCCCGCTTGCGTGATTATTACTCGTCCTGATTTGCCCGAGAAACAGGACGGGTTGGACAAGCTGTGGCTCTTAATCCCATCCTCATTTTGCCTGGAAACAAAACGAGCTGGACAAGCTGTAATCTGTTACCCGTCCTAATTTGTTGAGGACAAAGGATGGGTTGGACGTTGTGACCTTTATAGACTAGCTGTGATTTCTTACCTGTCCTGATTGGCGCGTGTGTGATTTCGAACGTCCTGAAAAACTGTGCGAGCTGTGATTTCTTACCTGCCGGCAAACGGGACGGCTTGGGCAAGCTGTGATTTCTTGTTCGTCCTGATTTGACGGGTTGGGCAAGCTGTAGAAGGCGGGAGGATGTGGCTGGGGGCTCCGCGAAGACTAAGAGCCAGCAGCAGTTCAGCATTGCGGCGCTGCTGAGGCCGTCAGCAACGCGAAAGTAAAGTTGGTTTGGTCTGGGAGGGATTGGTCAGGGTGTGTAAGGATTGTGCAGGCAAAAACTAGCAGGGAGGGCCACTTTTTGCGTAGTGTCCAGTGTGGAGATCCTGCATGACGTGCGAAATGCGGCCTTTCATGCTTCGCAGGCGACCCTCGTCACACATTGGGTGTGTTAATGTGCAACATCCCGGCTGTTTTGGTAGCTGTTTGATGCTTGCAGTCAAGTCTTTGATGTTGCATAGGACATCTGGAATTACCTACATATCCTACCAATGCATCTTGTTGAAGGTGTTGCATTGCAATCGGACCACTCATGTCTTCTACGCGAAAAGAATCTACTGACCGCTTGTTTCATGCCTGTAAACCGTGTTGTTTGCCGCTTGATAATCCACGAATAGTTTTGGTTTCAATTTAGATGTCGGTCCACAAAGCGCCGTTGGTGATCTACTTCCCATGGTGTGCAAGCAGAATTACATGATGTGATTTCGGCTTTGTGTCTCCATTGGTGTTTTCCAACGGTGGCAAACAGTTGGTTTAGACAAGCCAACATGAATTGCAACAATGCACTTTGCATAGCTAGCCGTATCACGCTTATGTTGCATATGTCTGCAAAATGATGCAAACTACTACACGGGTAGATCTGTGAAGGGGGCTAGAATGTACACATGTACAGATTCATTCACGAGTTTGTACATGCGTGCATATTGATTATTGCTATATCCGCCAACCCCTTGTCCTCAAAGACGAGAAGGGTGGAAGGTCATCACTATTGCATCAGCATGTCTTTCTTATACATATATGAAGTGTGGGGCTAGGCTCAATTGGTGATGCAGCGGATGCTACGATGATAGTTATGATCACAATCCCTCATCATCATCATCATCATCATCATCATCAGCGTTAGGGCCAATTGGTGATGCACAGGATGTATTGGTGATGCAGAAAATGCTACGACGACCATTACGTTGGCTTTGGACCATGCTCATCCGAAACTTGCTCGGATGAGCATGTTGACAGGTGGAATTGGCCCGCTACACACACAATCAGCATCATCATCATCATCACGAGCATCATCAGTATTGGTTTCTTCTGCATACTTGAAGTGTGGAGTTAGGCTCAATTGCTGATGCAGAGGATGCCACGATGATACTTATGATCACAATCTCTTAGCCCAATTGGTGACGCACAGGATGCATTGGTGATGCAGGCGATACTACGACGATAAGTAAATTTGCGTTGGACCATGCTCATCCGAAACTTCCGCGGATGAGCATGTGCTCGTTGACAGCTGATGGAATTGGCTTGCTAGACACATGATCATCATCATCATTCTCACCATCATCACCCAGTATGTCTGTCTTCTGCGTACTTGAAGTGCGGCGCTGTGATGATTATCCTCGTTGCTACTGGAGATGCTAGGGATGCGTAGTGACGGTCATCATCGTCAGTGATGATTATCATCATCCTGCTCTGCGCTGCTGGAGACAGAGCTGCGCAATGATGATTATCATTCTGATCATCACTGCTGGAGATGCTATAGATGCGTAGCGATGATTATCATTCACGCGGATCGTTGCCGGCGATGCTGTGGCTACGTAGTGATGATCAAAACATTTTGAAAGTCACGTTAGGCACAGTTAGAGATGCCGGCGATGCGTAGTGATGCTTAAAAGTCACGTTTGGCAGAGTTGGAGATGCAGGCGATGCGTAGTGATGCGTATCATCATCCTGATCATCCCAGCTGGAGATGCAATATATGCGTAGTCATGATTATCATCCACGCGGATCGCTGCCAGCGATGCTTTGGCTACGTAGTGATGATCATCGCCTTTGTATTCCTATTATAGACATTTCAAAAGTCACATTAGGCACAGTTGGAGATGCCGGTGATGCGTAGCGATGCCTATCATCATGCTAATCATCACTGCTGGAGATCTACGGATGCGTAGTGATTCTCATCATCATCCTGATCATCACGGCTGGAGATGCTATGGATGCGTAGTGATGATTATCATTCACGCGGATCCGGCGATGCTGTGGCTACGTAGTGATGATCATCGCCTTTGTATTCCTGTTATACACATTTCAAAAGTCACGTTAGGCACAGCTGGAGATGCCGGCGACGCGTAGCGATGCTTGTCATCATCCTGATCATCACTGCTATGGATACGTGATGATGATTGTCGCTCACGCGGATCGCTGCCGGCGATGCCGTGGCTACGTAGTGATGATCATCGCGTTTGTATTCCTATTCTAGACATTTCAAAAATCGCGTTAGGCACAGTTGGAGATGCCGGCGATGTGTAGTGATGCTTCTCATGCTCCTGATCATCACTGCTGGAGATGCTGCGGATGCTCATCATCATCCTGATCATCACTGCTAGAGATGCTACGGATGCGTAGCGGTGAGTATCATCCACGCGGATCGTTGCCGGCGATGCTGTGGCTACGCAGTGATGATCATCGCCGTTGTACTCCTACAATATACATTTCAAAAGTCGCGCTAGGCACAGTTGGAGATGCCGGCGATGCGTAGTGATGCTTATCATCATCCTGATCATCACTGCTGGAGATGCTATGGATGCGTTGTGATGATTATCATCCACGCGGATCGCTGCGTAGTGATGATCATCGCCTTTGTATTCCTATTAAAGACTTTCACAAGTCACTTTCGGCAGAGTTGGAGATGCCGGCGATGCGTAGTGACGCTTATCATCATGCTGATCAACACTGCTGGAGATGCTACGGGCATCGCCTTTGTATGCCTATTATATACATACAAAAGTCACGTTAGGCATAGTTGGAGATGCCGGCGATGCGTAGCGATGCTTATCATCATCCTGATCATCACTGCTGGAAATGCTATGGATGCGTTGTGATGATTATCACGCACGCGGATCGCTGCCGGCAATGCTGTGGCTACGCAGTGGTTAATCATCGCCTTTATATTCCTATTCTAGACATTTCAACAGGCACGTTAGGCACAGTTAAAGATACCGGCGATCGTAGTGATGATTATCATTCACGCGGATCGTTGCCGGCGATGCTGTGACAGTTCAAAAGTCACGCTAGGCACACCTGGAGATGGCGGCGATGCTTAGTGATGCTTATCATCATTTTGATCATCACGGAGATGCTACGGATGCGAAGTGATGCTTATCATTCACGCGGATCGTTGCCGGCGGGGCTGTGGCTACGCAGTGATGATCATCGCCCTTGTACTCCTCTTATAGACATTTCAACAGTCACGTTAGGCACAGTTGGGGATGCCGGCAATGCGTAGTGATGCTTTGGATGCGTAGTGATGGTTGTCATTCACGCGGATCGTTGCCGGCGATGCTGTGGCTATATGTAGTGATGATCATCGCCTTTGTATTCCTATTGAAGACATTTCAAAAAGTCACGTTAGGCACAGTTGGAGATGCCGGCGATGCGTAGTGGTGCTTGTCATCATCCTGATTATCACTGCTGGAGATGCTAGGGATGCGTAGTGATGATTATCATCGTTGCTCCTGGAGATGCTAGGGATCATCACGAGGATTGTTGCCGGCGTTGTACTCCTACAATATACATTTCAAAAGTCGCGCTAGGCACAGTTGGAGATGCCGGCGATGCGTAGTGATGCTTATCATCATCCTGATCATCACTGCTGGAGATGCTATGGATGCGCTGTGATGATTATCATCCACGCGGATCGCTGCCGGCGATGCTGTGGCTATGTAGTGATGATCATCGCCTTTGTATTCCTATTCTAGACATTTCAAAAGTCACGTTAGGCAGTTGGAAACGCCGGCGATGCGTAGCGATGCTTGTCATCATCCCGATCATCACTGCTGGAGATACTACGGATGCGTAGTGATGATCATCGCTGCTAGAGATGGTATGGATGCGTAGTGATGATTATCATTCAGGCGGATCGTTGCCGGCGATGCTGCGGCTACGTAGTGATGATCATCGCCTTTCGCACTGATTCGCGTATTCCTTGTTGTACTTCAGAGTTGGAGATGCAGAGGGTGGCACGCTGGAGATGCTGGGGACGCGTAGCGATGCCTCTCATCATCACGATCCTCGCTGCAGGAGATGCTGGGGGCGCGTAGTGGATGCTCCGATGTAGAGTAAACTAGGAGGATCGACACGGGGGGGGGGGGGCGCGCGAGCGAATTCCGGGCTGCGAGCGCTGCAGTACTTGGCGCCCCTCACATCGCTGCAATCGCACGCCAAATTTCTGTAAGGGTGCTGTCCTTCCGCTGCGCGCGCGTTCTAGCCATTCACTGGTGACTTCTACGCGCAATGTCTTCCAGCTGTTGCTCTGCTAAGCATGCGTCGCATGTCTGCGTTCCGTTCCTGTTGCACGTGCCTCCTAAAGCACTGTTCCGGCCGTGATGTCTTGCAGGCTGCACAAGTCCAAAACCCTCGTTGCTTCTGATTGCATGTCTTGCATTTTTTCGACATCGCTCGCGAGCGCGCCACGCAGCCGCGCTGAAGTCTCACTCTTCTTTTGTTTCTCTGCGAATGTAGCACTCTTGGCTTTCCTTGCAACTCAGACACACGTGCCGGTGTGTTGCCCTGCTAGTGGGCTGCCAGACACGGTCTCCGTCGTTGCGCTTCCATTGACCAGCTGCGTAGCCGCGTGGCTCTTTGCGTTCTCGACGCTCGCAGCATGGCTTTTCAATAACGTACTCTGCTCGGATTTGCTCCCAGTCTATCGCCTCTCCTCGCCATACGCGGAGCAACCGCGTCCTCCCCGCGCTGGAAAGGCGCAGGCAAAGGGACGAAATATGAGTAGGCGTTCTTGACTTTCGACCCGCGCGACGGCGGCATGTCAAGGGGTCGTCTCCATTCTAATCGCGATGTCAGCAACGGCTCCTTCCCGCATGGTTAGGCATTGCGCTGCGTGAGCAGTGATCGCGAAGTACGGGCGCAGTGGAAGCTGCCTCCGCGACACCTTGAGCTTCGGCTATTTCCGACGCTGGCCAAAAGGCCGGACACTGCGACCCAGTGATCAGTGCCACTGGAAGGATGCAATTTCCGGCCCATGCCCTTGACGCGACACTTTCTCTGGGTTTTGAATCGCACATCCACTGCGGTAGGCAACGCCGTCCAGAAGCGGACTTCTCCCTGTTTGCTCAGCTCCGCGTTCGGGCTGTCGCGCGTCCAACCGCAAACTCGTCCGGGACATCTGCGCAGCACGCCCCTCTCTCGATCCACGTGGTCTGTGGCAGCTACAGGCATACCCGTGCACAATGGCGAGGTGCCGTAGAGGTCTCCGGCTTCGCGATCGTGGTCGTCGCAGCCAGGTCACCTTGTCTTTGTCCAGATGGCGCTTTGCTGCTGGCACCCCAGCTGAGGCGCGATCTTCTGCGATAGCGTAGTGGAGTCTCTGGTGTTTCTCTGCCGCAAATCTGCGTGCGCGCGTGTGGTTCACGTGGTATTTCACATTGTTGGTGGCGAAAATGCAGGTCGACTTGTGGAATTTTTGAGCAAAACGCAAATCGCTCTCTGCCAAGGCGACGAGTGCTTTCGAGCGTCGCTCTTCACGACACTTGTCACATTCTGAGCGCAGGATGCGCGCTGGCTCTGCGTGCTCTGCCTGTAGTTTTTCGCAGCTTGCGTTGCCGCAATAGAGCGAGTGCGTCGGATGAGCATCCGAGCTTCAATGGGCCACATCACAGTCCTCATCCTTATCATCTTTCTTATTATGGTCATGACTTGTGTTCTTAGGCAGCATCGGTGATGCAGCGGGTGCTACAACGACAACTTTTATTTGCTTTGACCATGATCATCCGAAGCTTGCTCGGATGAGCATCGGCTCATGGACAGCTGTTGGAATTGGCCCGCTAGACACTGGCAATGATTCTATGTGGAATTCATTTGTGACGTTAGAGCAAGTGCGTCGGATAAGCTTTAGTGGGCCGTATCACAGTCCTTGTCCTTGTCATCTTTCTTATCATGGTCATGACCCTGTGTTCTTAGGCAGCATCGGTGATGCAGCGGGGGTCGGCAAAATAATTAAAAAAAATGCGGAGGTCGGCGGCACCGCGGTAGCCCTTAAATCTCTCGAAGTGCTCTCGAGTATGTTTGAGAAGAGCACCTGAAGCAACAAGCTCGAGGAGTCTGCCCGCCTTGTCCAAGTAGAGGGGCCCATTGACGGCCGTGGCATCCACAGTAGCCCAGCCACGAGGCTGGCGTGGGCTGTGAGTGAGGGAAAGAAACACCATCAGACTGCAGTTGGCTTGAAAAACCATGTATAAGTTTGTGCTTAGCCTCCTTTTCAGCTTTTGCTGCTTTGAGGCAGCGACGTTGCGCTTCCAATGGTTGGATCAAGTATAGCTATGCACCGAAGCCGGCCCCCCTACAAGTGAAACAGGTGCATTGGCAAGCGAGAGCCGAGTGTGAACTTGCATTTTCATTTCAGCCATGTGTCCCGGCCTGCACGGGCATTCGTTGAAGGCCCTGCGCAGGGCCATTGACGAAGACCTTCCAAGCGGCACTTATGGCACCCGTTCGGATTGGACACATGCTTCTGCTATCTTCAGCTAAAGCCGCGCGCCTCTAAAGGTCCTGCCTGCAGCACCTGACACCGTTCCATGATTGTCAGCACGAAGGCCGAATAGCACGATTCCCCCCCTGTCCGATTCGTTGACTTTGTGGTCCATCCCCTCACTACCCACGTGGTATTTCAAGTGCGAAGCAAAAGCACCAGGTTCCTGACATACTGGCCGAAAGGTACCTTGAATCCATGCAAATTATCGCCAGCCTTGCACAAACCTTGTAGGCAGCCGGCTCGGCAAATCTCCTCGCTAGTCAGCAGGAACTGCTCCCGGATAATGACATCCCCCTTGTCCCTGCAGCAGTTCCTGGCTCGCTTGAAACTCTCTGGACTCCGACATCTAACTCATCCGGGTCCTCCACCAGGTCCCGCGCTGTGATCTGGGCACAATCTCGGTACGGCCCATCTCCGGGATAAACCTCTGCGTCGTTTTAGGAAAAAAAAAGTTGGGCATGCCTTCGACATTCGAGCACACATCTGCGCCTCCCTGTGGATGCGTTCTGGCCCTTATGGTTGCCCTTGCCTTTGCGGTCGCGGCCTGACATGTAGCCCAACTTGCACTGACTGAAATTTGAGTTGCCAGCAACATGTGAGCCTCTGATCCTGTCACGGTCACCTTCCTCGTCAGCCCTCAGATCGTCCAGGTCCATTCCAGGTCTCATTCCAGGTCCGATGCCATGCGATGCCATGCCTTGCTTCCAGTTTGAGGCGCAAGCGGTCCAGCATCTGGACCTCGGCTACCGGTCTTGCCTATCCATGCAGTCTCCAGATTGGCACCCGGCATATCAGAAACTTCAGGTTCGCCACCTCTGGTGGCTTCGCAATGGGCATCAAGGCCTGCCAACTTGCGGAGGTGGCGACCGAATTCTAAGTGACACGCCCTTTCGCTCCAGCTTCATGCTCGGTCTCCACATGCGGCACATTCCGAACTGCTCTGCCTTCACCAAAAAAGGCCCATGTTCCAAAACAGGATGGCCGCGGGGCAATGAACAGGTGTAAAGCCGGTGAAGTTGTGGATGCTGGGAGGGGATGAAAGGACGGTTGCAAGCTTCGGCCTGCAGAATCTGCAACATCCACGCCCGGCCATACCTGGCTCATGACTGCACAGGGCGACCAAGCATGAACACGTATGAAAGAACTTAAACACGCTAGATCATATTAGAGCATGGAGCCAACATTGAAAAGCCATGAGTCGATTCTCTGAGACGTGAGAGCACTGCTGCTGGTCCAGGTCCAGGACGTCGGCATCGAAAGGACTGTCATTCACATCCTGGGGCTTGGCTTGACACTTGCAATATCTTGCATGGAGCCGCCAAACGGCTTGGACAAATCGTGAACTTTGTAAAGCCAAAGCATCACAAAGCACCCGTCGCAGGCTGAGGCCACAGCCAGCTCGGCCTCAGTCTCTCACTCGCAAGCTAGAAACACATGTTATACAAATGGGAGAGGCTGGTTCTCAAGGGCAGCACGTCCTCGTCCTCGTCCATGCCTGCCCAGCTCGACGGCATGCGACTGCATGCTACTCTGCAAGCGAATTTCAGTCTCAAAATGGCCTCTAATGGCTCGGCAAGGCCTCCCCGTGAGCCAAGCTGCGAAGGCGCCGTCAGCCAGGGGTCACAAGGCACCAATTCTCAAGCCAAGAGGTTTGCTGTTGATCCCAAACATCTTTTTTCTTGGCTCTTGCAAAGGTGTTTGTGCGGGCTCTGGTGTTCAAACACTCCTACGCCCAGCAAATCGATTGGCATGCCATCGACAGTGAAAATTGGCTGATCTGCCTACTGCAAAGTTAAAGCTACAGCATCAGGCCGCTTCAGCGGCCAGAGCATGGACTTCGATCTATCTGATCTGAGCGGAAAATCCGAAAGCGATCACTTCTTGCCCAAGAACTGCCAAGTAGGAATAACCTGCATCTCGCTCCACGCGAAGGCTACAACCCTTCAGATCTCACAAATCCTGCGAGAGAGAACACTTTTGCAGCTTTCAAGGGCAAGCGAATGTATCCAAATTGGTCCAAGCAAACAGCCATGAAGAATCGCAGAAACAACAAGGATGAATCAACCATGTCGGATGACAGTTGCATGTCAAAAACTGCAACTGCTTGCGGCCTTTGCTTGTAGCCATTGCTTGCGGCCAATCTGTCAGTTACTCATTCATGGCATTGTGCATCTCTGACCATGTCCTTTTGCCACTTCCAAGTGGCAGAGTCGGGGTTGAGGGACACAGAGTCGATACCCTGCTCCATGAGCCACTTGGCGAGATCCGGGTGATCAGAAGGGCCCTGACCACAAATGCCAACATACCTGGCGGTGATTGGCGGTTTGCTCGAGTCTTCTCAGCTCTTCTCAGTCTCAAGACTGACATGCCGTACAAAGCAACATTTGTGTCTCTGGCCCAACAGCCGGTGCCTGGTTTACATGCGGTTTACACACTTACAGGTTTGCAGGAATGGAAGAATGCCACATGAATCATGAATCACATCCAACTCCTACAGTCGTGTCCTAAGACAAAAGCATCGCAAACTGAGGCTGGTGCTTGCCCTTGGCCTTGGCAGCCTTGATGAGGGTCTCCAAACCCTTCATCACAGCAGGGTTGCGCTCGTCAAAGTACTGGGCAACCAAGCCTGCGCAAACGGCATCCGGACAAAGCAGGGGTTTGGTACCGGAAGGAGGATGTGAAACTTGCAAATGTCGCAATGCCTTGGATTGGACAGAATGACAGGAACGGCGAACGGCCAACAACAAATGTCGGACTGCGCGTTTCCATGGTGTGCTCGGAGAGGCGCACACAACACGCCTGAGTCACGGTCCAGGCCGAGAGTCAACTGCGTCAGGTCGTTGCTGCCAATGGAGAAGCCATCCTGAGCCAGTATGAACGAAGCGAGTTCCAACGAGATCCATAATATCCATTGAAAGCTTTTCGTGCAGAACAAAGCTCGAAGTACTCCAAGAACTCCTCTGCCAAGAAGACGTTGCTTGGCAGCTCTGCCATCATTTGCACCTCGTCAGTTGACACGGTTGATAGGTTGGTAGTGAATCCCGGGAGGTGCCGAAGAGCGCTACCAATCTAACTTCTCCACACGCCGCGCTCGATTTTCGGTCCAAACGGCTTGACAGCACAACGGCCCGCCTTCAGGCCATCCTCGCCTCTCTTGAGGCCGTTCTTCTCCTCAAATGGCTCGAAGCAGGCGCCGTTCCGAGCACGTGCATACCAACGTCTTCTGCAACAGATCAAACCAATTGCAAATTCGCGGTCCATTGTTCATGAGAGCCCATTTCCCCAACCGTGCCCCAACCACGCGAGCCAGGGCACCAGCACTTCGTTGACATCCTTAGCCATGTCCAGGGTGCGGACGAATGGGATCATGATCTCCACATTCTTCAGTCCCATCTCTCCTCGGGCAATCTTCACGGCCTGGCAACACGCAAACATGACTCCAGACTCCAGTCAGAATCAATGCCTGTTTCTATTCAAAGGACGATATGCTTACCTCTTGTGGTAAGTTTGGTGCAGTGAATGTCGCAGGGTCCCCTGAACAACCTATGGTTCCGCAACAAAGGGGCCAGCGTAAGGAGCTCCCAAACACCTTAAACGTCAAAGAAATGGGCAAGCGAGCGGGCGCGTTTGTGAGTCAGTGAGTCGGTGACCGAGCGAGTGAGCGAGCGAATGGGAAGGAAGCGGCAAAAAAAATAACTGGAGAAGGCGGTGCGGATCGATACATGCGCCGCCTTCTCCTTGCTATCCCTCCTCCTGTCCATGCTCCGTTCATTCACCTACCCACCCACCCTTGACGGAGCGGTCGGCTGCTGTGGGCTCGCGATTTCGTGGCAGGCGCAGCAATTTTGTGTGGCACGATAAGCACTTTCTGTGGTGCTGATTTTGCGACAGGCGCGGTATGTGTTGCCCGAATCAGCGGAGCTGCCTCCAACTCCATGGCGAAGCACTCCTCAAAGAAGGGGTCCGTGTAGCGCCCGCAGCCGCGGAAGCCGATCATGGGGTTCTCCTCGTCGGGCTCGTACTGCTCGCCACCGATCAGGCTCTTGTACCTCAGGTGAGGCTTCGGACGGAAGAGTCGAAGAGTCGGAGAGTCCGAGCAGTCCGGCAGAAGGCTTCCACATGGAGACAAGCGGCTCGTTGGACTTGAAGTCGGACAGCCGGACGATGATGCGCTTCGGATACACCGATGCGGCCAAGGTGGCAATGCCTTCCGCGATTTTCTTGATGTAGAAGTCCTGGCGACTTGCATCGCGGCAATCACACAACCAGGAGCAACTCCCATTGACCACTTCAAGTCTTTTTCTGTAACATCAGCCAGGGGACCTTGGGTCCATCATAGCCACGCATGCGCTCGTCGATCAAACCCTTGGTCTCAGCATCCAAGGTGTCGTAGTTCAAGAGCGCCTCGTGCAACAGCCAACTGGCACGCTGCCAGCGACAATACGACGCAGCAAAAACATCAGCCCCGGCTTGGAAGCGAGTGAGAGACGGACAATGGACCAGATTGGGTTACGAGGCTAGGACACGCGATTTCCGGCCTTCGGGTGCACACCTATGGCATTGTTGATGACCTGGAAAACACGCGCGGGCACAACAAACACACGGACACACACACACACAGGCACTCGAAATGCACATAACTACATTCATTATGCCACGCTTGTCTAGGGGATGGGGCTGATACTTAACACGAGCACTAGTAGCAATACTAACACTAATACTGAAACTAACACTAATACTGACACCAACACCACACACGCAAACCATGACCCGCACACACCCTCGCACACTGACGCTGACATAGAAAGCCTCAGCAAGTCATGCGTGCCGTTGGTCTTTGTGCCTGAAGCCTGGCTTGCATTTTATTGAGCCGTGCGGCAAACTCCAGGCGCGCCAGGCCAATGCCCTCGTTGGGAAGCTGGCCGAAGGAGAAAGCAGTCTCGGGATTGCCCACGTTCATCATGATCCTGAAGACGTTCACTGTGAAGCGAAAGGCTAATCACATCTGACGTGCTACTCAGTACAGTCCGCACTCAAACGTCTTGACGCATTCATCATGCCGCATCATGCTGTCCCAGATTCTTGAGTCCAACTTCTGGCAGATCGCCCAAATCCTGCACATTTTTCCTTGGATTCAGCTTGAGCTCATCTTGGTGCATTGCAGAGTGATCCTCTCTCCGCCGGCTATCGGCTTTCAATCCACGCGGCTCGAACTTCAGCTCGCCCTTGTAGATGTAGCCAGTGTCGCCCTCCGCACAGGAGACGGTCACCGCGTCACCTGCCGTTCAGGGCCGCTCACGTGCAACATCGGAGAAACAGAACAGGTCAAGGGATGTCAAATGCAGCATTGTTGCAACAGCACCAAACGCACATGGGAAAAGTGGCAAACAGGAGCTGAGGGTTTCCTTGACGTAGGATGCTGGACGCTCTTTCTGTTGTTGCTGATTTTCCTTGCATGTGCCGGAGCCCTACTGGGAAAGCATGACAAGACTTCATGCCTGGCTCGCAAGTCGTCAGTGTTGCTTGAGCAAAGCCTTCCCGCAAAGACAGGCCCTGTGCCCGGCCCGCGATCCAACACGGTCTGCGCGCCTTTCTTGACCTTGTCCGTGGCGTCCCCGCAGCCGACGATGGCCGGGATGCCCAGCTCGCGGGCGATGATGGCCGCGTGGCAGGTGCGGCCGCCGCGGTTGGTAATGATGGCGCCAGCCTTCTTCCTTGGCGACTAATGTTAGGTTGCGAATAATACATGGAGAGTCAATACACAAAAAAATCCCAAAATTATTCACACCCCTGAAAAACAAAAAGGGGAGTTAATACACAAAAGTTTTTGTGAGGGGCAAAAAAACCGGAAAAATGCTCCCCAAAAAAAAGATTGAAAATTAATCCCTAGTTCAGTGCAACTCCTGTCTCTGCCCCGCCCGCCCCCCCCAACCTACCACCACCACCAACAAGGAGATGATGATTGAAGTCCCTGAAAAGGAAGTTTAACTGAGGCCCCAACAGCCAAATTCTTTATGACAGCCCTTACTAAAAGTTGCACCCTGCCAAATTTTCAAGGGGGTAGTACAGGGAACACCCAGGAAGCCAATAATGAGATTTGTTAAAGGGGGGTTAATTGAGACAATTTTCTTAGGACTGGGGCCAGGGATGCCTGCAGGGAAAAGGGCTTCCCTTTCCAAAGAACTACTGAGTCTCCCCAGAAAAGGAAGTTTAACTGAGGCCCCAACAGCCAAATTCTTTATGACAGCCCTTACTAAAAGTTGCACCCTGCCAAATTTTCAAGGGGGTAGTACAGGGAACACCCAGGAAGCCAATAATGAGATTTGTTTAAGGGGGGTTAATTGAGAAAAGTTTTTAGGACTGGGGCCAGGGATGCCTGCAGGAAAAGGGCTTCCCTTTCCAAAGAACTACTGAGTCTCCCCAGAAAAGGAAGTTTAACTGAGGCCCCAACAGCCAAATTCTTTATGACAGCCCTTACTAAAAGTTGCACCCTGCCAAATTTTCAAGGGGGTAGTACAGGGAACACCCAGGAAGCCAATAATGAGATTTGTTTAAGGGGGGTTAATTGAGAAAAGTTTTTTAGGACTGGGGCCAGGG